GACCTGAAGTCGAGACGGTGAAAACTAGAAGTTTGGCCGCCTCGTAAAATGCTGAGTTGGTTTTCTTGTTTTCAGTGCAGAAATTCCTTTCCGTACAGGATTTTCGATCCATTTTACTTCAAGAGACACATTTAAGTGTTTTTAGTGTGGTGTTCTCTCAAGATCGACTCTTATTTTTTTGCTATCAAGCCTTTTGGGTTCAGTGCCTTTTACTGAGAATGAAAGCGCTGAGTCTTTCGACACAAATGTAACACTATAACTGCTTGTTTTTAAGGGGACAACGTTCTCGCTTTAGGATAGTATTTGAAAAATTTAAGAGACGAGAAGTCGAATAAAAATTGTTGGAAAACAAAAATCTAGGCTTGTAATAAACTTGAACATATCGGAGAAAATTGAGATCTTGAACAAGACGCCATGGTTAATCTATTAACTTTTATAATTTTATTTTGTTCACTTTCAGTTCAGCGATGGAGCGGTCTGAAGATCAAAATCTCGCCTTAGTACGGGAAGTTCTCATAACAGAACCATATCGTTTTAAAGCAAGATCTAGAACAACGGAAAGCGAAAAAGTCTGGCAACAAATAGCTGATAACCTGACTCCGATCATACCCTCAAGTTTCCCTCGAAGAAATTTGGTTTTGTTTTTAGAGAAACTGGAGTCATAGCCGGCAGCACAAATTTTTCTTCCAATAAAAGATCGTTAAGGCATCAATCAAGCAAGACTTCACGAGTTTTTCTAAAAGACGTCATGGAATTAAAACACGAAAGCATTACTTTATCCTCTCTCGTCAGGCGAGCCGCTCCACCCAACCTGCTCAATCTTAATTTGTTTTTCCCGCGAAGGTGGCGGCGTCCTCGCTCCAGGCTTTCTCCGTTCCCTTTACCGCCGCGTCCAGGGTATCTTAAGGTCCCTATTATTTCTGTCTAGTGTAAATCAGCTCAGTCTGTCGCATTTTATGCTCGTAGAACGACAACAATTTTTGGAATTTCCAGTTACGTCAAATTAGTCACGTTATACTGTCACGCTATATTTTGGGGCACAGAGGTATTGGGGGAGGGGTACGTGGAAATAATGCAAATTGTTTCATGCTTAGAATTAATGGCTAACTTGTATATTTTTATTCATAATGGTGGAATTTAATTTATACAGCCCCCACTTAAAAATGGTACTCTTGGATACAAAAGTCTTTCAAAAGGGTAAAATGTTCTGAATGAGTTTATGTTTCAGTCTCACATGAGGTTCTGTCGCATGCAATGGTTGCCGACAAGGTTTTATGGTAGCCTGAGTGTGTATAGCCGCCCCCTCCCTTCACAAAAAATAGCCCCTTGACAGCCCAGTTAAAAATCGCCTTTCGGCGATTCTTGTTTAAATTAGAATTGTAATATTACTTTTATTCTTGAATTTATTTGTAATTTTCTGACGTATTTTATTTTTTGTAAAAGCATTGAGATTAAAATTAATGTAACGCGCTAGAAATACATTATTATTATTAGGCCTAAATCAAAAGTTGAATAGAATCTTTTGTTCAACAAACATATATCCAATATAGATTCTTTTGTTTATTCTGACTGACGTACCTCATGTATTGCCTCTGCAAGCAGATCAGCACCCATCTTGGAATCCACAAACACAACAACTGGAGGCCTGAAATGTTTGGAGTCCAGAAGAATTGAGAAAAGGCGTTTCTTTTTGGACTTGTCTTCTACCCATAGCACAATCTGTTTAACAGAATCATTAGGGGCACTTGGCAACCCAGCAGAGATGCACACCGGATTTATAAGAAGCCGGGAAGCCATCCTTTCAATTGACGGAGGAATTGTGGCTGAAAACATTAAGGTTTGTTTCACTTCAGGTAAGTTCCTCAAAATTGATTGAACCTGTCATGAAAACATTAGCAGCAGTTAACAAAGAAAAGAACTATTTGCCTATACGTACACCACGAAAATATTTCATCTTGCTTGCATGGCTTTTTTAAATTGTCCGTTATTCTCACAGAAGAAGTGGTAAAATTTTTGTAAAAAAAGGTTCAAAGAGCTTATTTTTCTCGAAAATCACCTAAAAACAGCTATCCTATTTTTTGCCTTACATTTGTATTAAGTCTCCCTGGAGGATTATTACCCTGTTGTCAGTGGTCAGAGGGCTTGTGTACCTCAGTGACCTGGAGAGAGTGGCTGGGCCACCCATGCTGGGCAGGTCGAAGAGTAGAGGTCAGACGAAAAGTGATCCACTGTACCTCCTGGTTGGGGTTTGGGCACTGGACTAACAATCCAGTCCCATAAAAAGTCTTTTATTACGAAAGGAGCAACAGAAGGAACCAAAACAACTGGTTGTAATGGGCTTCCAGAGTTATCGGAAGATACTTGGATGAAAGAAAGTGGTGAAAGCTGATAGGAAGATGGAAACTGTCCTAAGCACCAAATCCGAGACCAGGATAGGATTTTGGAATCTGAGGACAATGAATAAGATCGGTAGGCTTGGTCAAGTAACATAAGAGATGAGACACTACAATCCGCATATCCTAAGATTTATTGAGAGTAGATGGATGGGGTCTGGAAAAGACTCCGAACTAATACAGGAGAGACAGTTCAAAACTTAGGAAGAGATGACAACCAACAAAATTAAGCGGTGGCCATCACCCTCAGGAAAGGTACAGGCAATTGCTTGATGGAGTGGAAACCTGTCAACAGCAGACTTATGAAAGATCAGGGTGAGATGGAAGCAGATCAATATGACGATCAAACAGTGTTATGCTCATACGAATAACAATGATGAAGAAGTGAAAACACATTAATATTTTTATGATCTGTTGCAAGCCGAGTTAGAAGAAATACCAAGGCATGACATGAACATTGTGATGGGGGACATGAATGCAAAGGTTGGAAGAGATAACACCAACTACGAGAGAGCCGTAGGAAGAGAGGGCTGTGGTACCATTAATGAGAATGGAGAGTGGCTGGTGGAACTCTGCACAATTTACGACCTCTTCATCGGAGGAACACTCTTTCCACACAAAGATATCCACAAGCTGACATGGTAATCTCCCAACAAAAGGGATAAAAAACAGATAGACCACTTCATGATCAACGGTACCTGGCAGCGGTCAGTTATGTAGGTCAGAGAGAAGAGGGGAGCTGACATTGGCAGTGATCACGATATGGTTGTGGCAGAATTGAGAGTGAAGCTGAGGAAAACATGGGATAAAAGACCCTGAAAGCAGCGGTTTGACGTGGAGAAAATACAAAACCCTAAAGTTAGAAGTACCTTTGTTCTGCATCTGAAGAAAAAGTTTCAAGCCCTGGCAGATTTGGAGGACTACACGCATTCTGATCAGGAAGAAGTGACCATCAAGAAGGAGGAAGTCAAAACAGCACTCCTCCAGACTAGTAAAGCTGGCTTGGGTACAAGAGAAAGGAAGAAGGAATGAATCCCAGCAGAAACTTGGTGACACTTGAAGAAACAGTTCATTGAGGCCAATTCCGAGAAGCTTAAAGAAAGGCACAAGCAACAGTGCCAAGAGGCAGACAGAAAAGTGAAGAAATTGGCAACAGCAGACAAACGAGCGTTCATAGATGACCTTGGAAGGCAGGCAGAAGACGCATCCAGCAAAGGAGAGCAAGGGAAGATGTATAAGATCACAAAGGTAGGCTGCGGCAAGTATCATGGACCTACCAATACACCAGTTAGAGACAATCCGGGATGATTGCTAACATCAGAAGCAGAGATAGACACTGGCTGGGCAGAACACATCAGTGAAGTCCCGAACAGGCTACCACAAACAGCAGAAGCTGATGTCATCATCATCATCGAGCAGTGCACGGAACGGCAGAGACAGTTCTACATCAACTTTTAACAGCATACACAGGGACAGCCTTTGTCGCATACTCCAAGTTGTCCAAGTTGTCCTTCTCATCAAGAGCTTTCACAACAATTTCACTTGCACAGAAGGAAACAACGACCACAGTTTCCAAATGCAGACTGGAGAGAGGAAAGGCTGTGTGATGTCAACTGTCCTGTTCAACATCACCATTAGGGACCTTATGATCCGACAACAGGGACGTCCATGAAAACTTCGCTGAAAAATAGACATCCTTTCAAACCACTTTGCGATTATCCCAAGTCGCCCAGCTACTTAAAAGAAGGGAATTTGTGCTGGAGCTGAAGAGAGGGGTCCGCACCCGAGTTCAGACACAGATGGTAGAATTTATCAGTTGCTGTTCCCGTCCTCAAAAAAACTTAAAATTTGGTCATCTCATGCGGTAGTAGCGCAAGGACAGCAAAGAAATGTACAAAAAAGCGTGATGCACGTGCAGAGTTGTTGTTTTGCTAACTAAACCTATTGCTTTTTGACGTTGCCATTGCCGTCGCCGTCGTAGTTTCGTAAGTTCCCTATTGACTGGGTGATGCGACGAACAACAGAAGATCGGACAAGAGGCATAGGATGGACCCTCTTAAGAGCTCTTGAAGACCTGGACTTGGCTGATAACCTGGCTCTGGTCTCCCACACCCACCAACACATCCAGGAGGAGACATCTCGCCTTAACACATACGCTCAGCAGATAGGCCTGAATATCAGCCAGAAGAAGACAGGTGATGACATTGAACATCCCAAACTCCCACCGGTGCAGGTGAATGGAGAAGATCTACCAAGGACTGAGCAGTTTACCTACTCAGGCCAGAACTGTTAGATGTGATAGAGGAGCAGTCAACAACGTTAAAAACCATCTTAGCAAGGCCAGAAATATCTTCAGAATGCTCAACCATTTTTGGAGGTCCAGCGTACCGCACAAAGACAAAGCTGAAGGTGTACCAGAGCTGTGTACTTTCTACCCTGTTATATGGCCTAAAGTGTTTTAAGGATGACTTCCAGCGAGCACAGCAAGCTCTCCATTTTCAACACAAAGAGCCTGCGGAGAATCCTGAGAATCTTCTGGTCCAACGTACACCATCTCAAATGAACAACAGTTTACTGTTTGCTCGTTGTGGTCGGGACAGGATGGAGACCATCATCATGAGGAGCAGGTGGAGGTGGATTGGGCACCAAAAGGGAAGCGCAAGAGAGGCAGACCAAAGAACAACTGGCAATGAACGGTAAAGGGAGAGATGAAGACCCTTAACCACACCTGGGGTACCATCCGGAAGCTGGCCTAGAACAGAAAGGAGTGGAGGACCTTTGTTGCTGCCCTTCATGTCAGCGGGCATAGCGGGCAGTAAATAAACAAATGAATACATTTGTATTAAGTATGGAGCATTTTCCCTCATGTGGCCAACAGTTATGCAAATGAATTGATACAAAATAAAATGTTTACATACGACAAGAGTTCAACTCTCAAAGGACTGGTTTACCACACCAACATGGCCACTGTTTTACTGTTTTGGGACACAAAATGGCAGATGTGACGTCATGTGAAAAGCAGACTTGCCACGTCTCACGACTTTGTTGCAAGCCTCACGATTTAACAACCTATCTCATGCTCTCTCTGATTTCTCACACTTTCGCGAAAGTCATACTCCAAAAATTTTTTTGGACCATCCCTAGGGTCCATAGCAAACTCAGTCTAAAGAAAATGCCTAGCAGTCGCGTTTGATTAGTAAAGGTGTGAATTGCCAACTCGGTGCATTGTTTACATTCTTCAGCCAACATATCTTTGTCATTTTGACGTTTACTGATGTAGCTTTAAAAATATGGGACTTGTAATACCCAAACTCCCTGCTGTAAGTGCTTACACTTTTTCCCAGTTCCCACTAGTTTTGGCAGCTCTAGGTTAAGAATATCACGATTTTTTGCCTCTTAGGGGTTGGCAAGTCTGGAAAAGCCTCTATGTTCAATTGATGACTTTTTTAAAACTGAAAATAGGTTAGTAACAACAACATTACTTGGTGCTGAAATCCTAATTGCAGCATGGTATCAACTTCATCCAACACAAAGAGCTTGATAAACGAAAGGTCAACACTGGATTGGCTAAGGAGCTCGTAAAGCCTCCCTGGAGTAGCAACAATAATCTGTACTCCTGTCTGGAGGCGGTAAAGCTGGGGAGGAATAGGCAGGCCACCAACAAGTAGTGCTGTCTTCATGCTCTGCAAGCCTTGCATTAGTTCTTTAGCCTGTTTCTCTATCTGCATACAGAGTTCTCTTGTTGGAGCAATAATCAGGCCAAGTGGATTATTCATGTTGCATGATGTTTTACTCTGAAAGGATGAATCTGGCAGAAGAAAAGAACAATGTAGTTTTTAATGTCCACAGGAATAAAAGTAACCCTCCTAACTCAAAATGTTTTTTTTTTTCCAGTCAAGAGTTATACTGGTTTTTGTATCTCATGTACCAATTACATCATTCTAAGTTCCGAACATACAAAAGCAAAGATGCCAACCCCTGGAGAGCTGACATCTGGAGACTTTCTTTTGCAGTCTCCTTGCCAATATCAGAGACCAAGGACCCCCAATAACCAAAAATCAACCCAGTCCCCAATTCTAAACATGGGAACTGCTTAAAAGATTAACTGAAGTCTCTCATGTAGTATCAACATCAACATTTGCTTTTATGAATTTTACTTTTAATCATGTAATGGTGGACGGATTTCCCAAAAGCATTCCTTGTCCTATTCCCCCTGCTATGGGGTCATGGGGAGGGGGTGGGAAATTTCAGATAAAAAATATTAGAAACAGACTTGGAACAAAACCAACTTTTTTGCATGGTATTTATTAATCCCATGTTTATACCATGTAGTAAGCCTGTAACATTTTCTTGCCCAAACCTGCCTGCTACAAAATTTTAAATTCTCAGTTTAATTCACAATCAACAAACCACTGTAACAGACACTGTATCAATGTTTGGAAGAAGATAAGCAGAAACATTTGGAGGACAAAGAGTGTTTTCTTAGCATGATTTAACTCATGTCTGTCAAGTGTATAGCATGCATTGATGGCAATTTTTATCATTATTTTGAGATGTAGCGGTTTTAGCCAATAAACTCAACAGCAATGCCTACTGATTTAGGGTACTTTCACTGATCTTGCATTATTGATGTTAGAGGTGAAATTACAATAGAAATGGACTTTTAAGTCCATTTTAATATCTTTTGCAATATATAAAGGTTTTAGTTTTATGGACTACTGAGGGATCAGTTTCTTCCTCTCACAATACCAAGAATGCTTTGGATAAAACCCATCAACCATGAGCGAGGTTTGTGATACACCAATCACTAACAACCACGATGGTACAAATAGTCCGACTCAGCAAATTGATACTATCGCCTGTTGAAGACCTGTAATGTGCACTGAAAAACGTCGCGATCAACATCAAAGTGACAATCATGAGACAAACGATAAAACTAAACCCTTCATACAAATTATCCACGATGATTAATATCTTTCATGACATCTTTTGCAATGTCTGTCAACAACCATCAATGCACACTGAAAAATAATTGATATTTCAGATCTGGATGGCCTAATTACAATAGGATTCTCACCGTTTACCAACTTTCCGAACCCTTTTTGCTGCAAATATTTCAAGGTTTTAAGCTTAAAAAGCTACCAAAAAGTATTGTACACCTTCACAAACAATACTTTTGTGTCTGCTGTTTGAAATCTGCTCAAGGCAAAATAATCTATGCTACCTGCTTCATTCGGGCAGGCAATGATGTGATTAGGGGAAATTGACAAAGCAGACCCACACATCCAGGGATCATTTTAGGAGAGGAGCTCAGGCTGAAGACTTGTGCAAAAGCGTTGAGGCGTGTGCCCAAAAAATTGCTTCATTTTGTCTATTTGATATAATTGCTCATCATTTTAATTGCACACCCAGCTTTATCATAACAGGAATTGCCTTTTGGTGTAGTAAATTGACTCAGACTAAAAAAAAGGGACATTTCGCCTTTTTTTTTTTGGGGGGGGGGGTCACTATATTTTTCTATTCTATTGTACCAGGTGTTATGTTATCAACGAATGCAATGTTCAAGAGTGCATTGCACATACATACAGTCGTTATCTAGAGCAAAAGTAAAATAGGTTTATTCACGTGAGATTGACTTGACATTTGATTTTTCACAAAGTGAACAGAACATACTCTTTGGTGGATCGAAATGCGGCCATTTGTACTTCTCTAGCCAGCTCTGTAGAACGTTTTGCTTTGGCAATTTCAATTTTCGGTTCTCTCAATTGATCATTCTTTGGCCCAGCTTCATCATTTGCAGTGGACGTTTCAGCAGTTTCTTCTTTGTGCTGTTGCACAAAAAAATGCTTAAAGCCTACTTTGTTTTGACATCACTTTGTATTCACATTCATCAAGAGAAGAGCGCTCAATTACCCCCTATAGCATTTATTCAAACTAGTGTCCAGGAACGAAGACAAGCCTTTTATCCCGAAGGCCCGCAGATTTTTTTGGTTTTGTTGTTTTTCCTCCATTTGATTACATACATTTGATCACTTGGAGTCTGGAGTAAACCTTCCCCTGGAATAATGCTTAGCACATGGATAAATCTCTATCAAGTGGATAATGCAAAGGGTTTCCTCTAATGCTATCAAGCCTGTTTTTGGTTGTCTTTATGTGCTTGATATCGCCAACACAGAAATTCAAACTTGAAAAGAGTACAATAAATACCAAGGAACGAGGTAAGTCAAGATTTGATGAGATTTTGGAGTTATGAATCTTTATTTTGGACTATTTTGTAGCGCCAGCATTCTGTTTAATTCCAGCGAGCTAGGGTTCAATTTTTTTGCTTTTGCACAACAATGCTTGACAAAGAAACTTTAAAAAAAGACTATTGATTCCTATTCTTCATATGTTCGCTTTGACCAGAACATGACCGGAAATGTTGTGACACTTACTTAAACAGGATGTGACTCTTTTAGTATCGTATTAATGTTACCCTTTTTTGATTGACATATGAAATCAGAGTAGCTGAAAAAGAGACTAGTGCAAATTTACCTTTTGTTGAGATCTGTCAGAGAGGAAATGTACGAGCGGATTGTGATTTAAATAAAAGAAGGATTTATGATTTGAGCGAGCTATTTTGTGCCCCACAAGTTTGGTGCAAAAAGTGGTGCCGAGACCAGGATACTGCGGACTTCAACTGGTTATTACACATTGGAAAATATGGGCGATGGCAAGGAAAACACAGACACGTGGTGCAGTTGTGAGGATGAACAACAACTAGAAAAAGAAATAGACAAGGAAATACACAAATTCAAGTACTTTCTGGACGAAACGGACGAGCTAATTAAGCTAAGGGATTACACGGAAAGGGATATTGCCAACAGACGAGAGGGGAAAATCATAGGCAAGTTATCAAATCTTATTTCGCAAGCAGAGGAATTGAAAATAGATCATGGTGTATCTCCTTGATTAGTGAGACAATGGAAGAAGGACGTAAAGGCCAGGTATTCCACATTTCTTGTGGACAAAGAAAAGCTTGCAAAGTTCTTAAACAACAGACAAGAGGAAATAGACAAGGAAATGGAAAGAAAACGATTTGAAACCAAACAAGAACAACAGCGAGAAGAGGAGCACCATTTAACTGAGTTGCGTTTGTGACAAGAAGAGCGCGAACGATGTATGTGGCAGGAGAAAATTGATGCAGAATTAGAGGCGACGCATAAATGGCTGGAACTGGAGAAACAAGCCCGTTCAACCACAGCAAAACTACCCAAATTGATAATAACACTGTTCAAATGATCGCCCGCCATGGGTGAGATTCGAGAACATGCTTATCACACAAGTCCACAACAAATCGGTCAGCACAGAAGAAAAATTCGGCTATCTGTTTGAAATGGTCAATCCAAATTAAACGTACGAGCAAAGATAGCAAACCTGAAGCCTGGTGAAATTGGCTACAAGATAGCCTGGGAAAGACTGAAATCTGAGTATGGCCAGAGAAAACTTGTTGAGAATACACAAGTAGAAGAAATAGTGAACCTTCCTGTCATCAAAGGATCCAATTACTTGAAGATTCAGGAATTTAACGAGAGCGTGACCAGAAACTACAATGTGTTGCTGACAATGCATTGGTGAAGCCCAAATGCTTAGGGGGTTTGTGATGTCCACTCTTAACAAAGTACCGCAAGTGAGGCTCGATATTGTGCAAACGGACGAATATTGGGAGAACTGGGATATGGAGTCCTTGATAAACAACCTTCAGCAGTGGTTGAAGAGACACAAAGTAGATGATGCACCCGGAGACAGTGGAGGTGTACGACCAAAAAGAGAGAAGCATTGATATGATAAGGAAAAGAGAGACCCAGTCTGTATCTTTTGTGAGGGAAAGCATTGGGGAGACACATGCGAAGTCATTAACACAATAGAAGCAAGAAGACAGTTCTTCCAAGAAAAGAAATTGTGTTTCAAATTCTTGTGGCCGCGCAGGACACTGGGGGAAGCAATGTCGAAGCCGAGTATGTTTCAAGTGCAAGTCAAAGCATCATACAAGTCTTTGTGAGAAGAATAAGAATAGACCACCCGGTGACAACGGAACTGTGTTAACAAGCTATTCTCCTTCAGCCGATGAATGGTCATTGCCATCCATAATACCTGTAAAGATAAAAGGCAAAACATTTTGGGCATACCTGGACACTGGAACTGGGAGGAATTTCATTACAAGCGAAGTGGCCAAAAGGTTAAAACTCAAAGCTGAACGTCACGAAGTACGAGATATTCTCACCATAAATGGCTCAAAGAAACAGTCTATGCCTATCTTTAACCTCTTAATTGAGTCACTAGATGGTAAAGCGAGTGAGAAGATTCAGGTAACTGGAACAAAACTGCAAGACTTCACAACCGTGCAAAGACCGGATATAAACAGGTTAAAGGAGCAGTATAAGCATACCAAAGACAAGAGGTTTTACAAACAGATTGGAGACGAGTATCCTATACACGTGATTTTAGGAGTACCTACTGTCAAATAAGAACAGAAGAAAGATACGAGGGACAGCCGGGAGAACCAATTGTGGAAGAAACGACCATTGGCTGGGTAATCCATGGTGGAAATGACTCAGATAGCCAGAGCTTCTTCAGCAGAGATACAAGCGACTATGAGCGGCTCTGCAACCTGGACGTTTTGGCGCCAGGGACAGAGGTGAGGATGACGAGCTTGATGTCTACACAGAGTTCAAAGAGAACATAGTAAGGATCAGTCGATGGAAGAACAGTATAGTGGCAATTTTGCTTGACGGAAGCACAAGTTATACATTCTAACCATTTTAGAATCTAGAGTTTTTATTCTTCTTTTTATTTTCCCTTAATCTTGTGGTTGAAGGTGTGGCATGTTGATGATAGTGGTCATGCTAAAATGGTGTCAATTTGACCAAACATTACGGCCATTATTGCGAATCACATCCCATCAGTCAGTGGAAAAACAGTAACTTGAACTTGGTTTCGCTTCAAAAGCAGGAGGTATACATTATAATCATTTCAGAATTTAGAGTTTTTATTTTATTTACCATCTTCGTTTTGCCTTAATTTTGTGGTTGAAAGTTTGACTTGTGTACAATATTGCATTCACAAACACTGAAATGGCGTTAATTCTGTCAACAATAATACGCCCATGAAAATGAAAAACAAATCGTAAGCTTGCTCATAAATACAACCGACTTCTCACATTCCTATGTTTGATACAGGAACAATGTGTTTAATCTTTTTAATCGTCATCAACGCTGTAAATGGAGCCATGGATGGCGAAGTAACTCCAGACGCAACTCGGAAATCACATTGGACCAACTTCGCAATCTGTACAATGGAGGTCAGAGTCATGGTGGCCTACATCGTCTTCGAACTACTCTTCATAGCGCCCGGTTATCAAATTTACATAAACTACTTGATGAATGTGAACGGCTAATAGTCGCCAATCAGGAACAGCGTTTCAGGAGCATAGTTTTGGATATGTGTTGCAAAAGATTATTTTTTCCCCTATGGACAGGTACTTACTCCACAGCTAAACCTCCATGACGCTTCATCAAAGTCCTTGTCCAGAACAAAGGGATAGATAAAGTTAAGCTTACTAGCATTTTACATAACAAACTAGTTAGATCTAAAATACCAATTTATTTTCAGGAAAAGGATCCACCAATGGTGAGTTATAAGTATACTAATACTATTTCCAGGAGTGTGTTCAATTATAATCAAACCCCTCGTAATATTAATCTCGATGATTCTCGCAATGCATCTTCGTTGTGCAACTGCCAATCTTCAACTTTTCGTTATGCGCCCCATGGTCATGTCATTACCGGGGATCTACGAATCGTAAGAAACAGAAAACTTAGACGACTACTAGAGAGGGGTCCACAGTACAGGGAGCAGAATAATATCGATTGGCACATTAACAAGAAGATATTGACAAACGCGGTAGATGATTACGCCAGGAATTGGAGTAAACGAGAGGGATGCCACGTGTCAGCTCTGCAGGCATGGTCGGGGACGGTAAAACTTATCATCAGCAACAGGATAAACAATTTAGAACATCGAAGTTTTTGTCCTTGTCACAAAATCTTAGAAGACCCGCATATCAAGGCATACTTGACAGACCTTCAAAGTAAATATGTACTGGTTCCTGCAGATAAAGCCGGCAACAACATCATTTTTGTTTGTAAGTATTATTACGTACATACTCTAATGGAAGAGCTTGGCATAAATTCAAGAACAAATCGTAATTCTACATATGTAACTCAGGATCGTACAGTGGATGATATAATACAGACCCATGCCACAACATTGGAGGATGTATTTGACATCAAATTACAACAGAAGAGAGCTTTGTCTCACTATTGACTTTCTTATCGACAACATCTACGTTCGTTTTGGAAGCTCTGTTTTCCGGCAGGTTATTGGTATCCCAGTGGGCACCAACAGTGCACCTTTATTGGCTGATCTCTTCCTTCACACCTTCGAGTATGATTTCATGGTCAAAACAATGAAACAGGATATTACAAAAGCCATCCAATTCAGTAACACCTTTCGGTACATCAACGATTTATTCAGTGCTAACAATGTGGACTTTGGAAATTACATTGGAACTTACGGACACTTCCACATCATCTACTGAAGTGTGTTATCTCGACACTAATATAAAGACTAGTGACAACACACCTTTCCGTATCAGCATCTACGATAACAGAGAGGACTTTGCATTTCGGATTGTCAACTTTCCTCATATGGACAGCAACATTCCCAGCAATCCAGCTTACGGTGTTTATATATCTCAACTGGTGAGATATGCTAGAATTTGCAGGTCCAAAGTTGACTTCATCAATGGACTTTCATTACGACTCAGACAGCAAGGCTTTGAAACCAATCTACTTCAGAAATCATTTAATAAATTCTTCAGTCGCCATGGTCTTATCGTCAAGAAGTATGGTGCAGCCCTGCGGGAGATGAGATTAGCAATCCAGGCTTGAATTGCACCATCGTATCCTTACATTACTTATTTATTGCATAGTGTTATATTTCAGTTATATCTCAGTACGTGTGCGCGGGCTTACTGTAGTTTGCGAAACGAAATGGAGCGAAACAAAACGAAACGAAATGAAAATCTGTAGTTTGTGAAATGAAAATCTGTAGTTTGTGAAATGAAAATCTGTAGTTTGCCAAATGAAAATCTGTAGTGAAATGAAAATCTGTAGTTATACAGATACTATACTATAATACTATATTATACTATAATCCTGACACATTTCAGTATCACATGTCTTTCGCTCCTTGGTCTGTCTTGGAAATATTCGACCACATCAACGACAAATTACATGCATTCGATCTTCTTTTCAATGAGATTCTTGACCACCATGCTCCGATCAGATCAATTAAGGTTCATGGAAAGCAAAATCCTTGCATAACTGAGGAAACACGTGAGCTTATGAAATCTAGAACTATTCAGGGCTTCTGATATTTCGCGCGGTCGCGGACCCGCGAAATTCAGGTATTTCTAAGAAATCATGCGAAATTCCCCCCAAAACACGAAATACCGCGAAATCCACAAGAAATATTTCCGAATACTTGTCAGCAAAACATATTTAATACTTATATTGGCCATTAGACCTGTTTTATTCACCCCAAACGTCCAAATTTATCTTGAAACTTCGTCACTGCAACGAGTAAACAACGTCCCAAAACAACGTTAAACAACGCTGGTCATATCGACGCAGAATTGACCGATTTTAAGCAAAATTTGCCAAAAAAAACCAGCGAAATCGGCTGTTTTTTACTGATTGTTTCTTGGCGAAGTTTCCCCCCGAAATTTCCTGTGAAATCAGCTGATTTTTCTAAGAATTTGCCCTTGAAAATCCTTCAAAATTTGAATTTTTTCCGCTAAAATCCCGCGAAATCAAACGATTTTCCGGCGAATTTTGACTTTTCTCCAGCAAAAATCCCGCGAAATCGGCCGATTTTTCCGCGAATTTGCCCCTGAAAATCCCGCGAAATTTTGCTTTTTTTCTGTGAAATATCAGAAGCCCTGACTATTGGTGCAAGAGAGCATGCAGAACTAATAATCCCGCTTCACTGGTCTACTTAGTGAGAAAGTTAATAAGAAAAAATTCTAAAATTGAATCTTTGGCTAAAGAGCACAACTTTGTTCTTCATGAAAACGCTTTTACCGGTACTCCTAAATGTTTTCCTACTAGTGAGCAATTTACATTTAATTATGTTGATTGTAAACAAGTCCCGGATGTCATCAATGCAATGCCTTAAGGACAGCCTGTTGATCACACTCCCTTTTTTTATTACGTCAATCGTCAATGCTTCTCTTTTAGCTTCAACATTCCCAGAGTTCTGGAAAACTGCCAAAATTACACCTATTCCCAAACAAGGCAACCACGAACTTCCTAACAATAACAGACTGTTTTCCGTCCTACCTGCATTGTTAAAGGTTTGTGAGAGAGCAGCTTATAATCAGGTTGTCACCTATTTGACAACCAAGGAAAGGCTTACCACAAAACAAAGCGGTAACAAAAAATGGTTCTCTACTGAGACATCTTTAATTCACACAACTGCTGCATTTCTCAAAGGAACTGATGATAAGAAATTGACTGCCTGCATGCGTTAAGATATGAGTAAAGCGTTCGGCAGCATTGACCATCAAATATTGTTACGTAAAATACAAAATGGTTTAACAGCTACCTCACAAATAGATATCAAGTTGTACGAATTCATAGTTCCATTTCTGATCCTCTTCCAGTTGAATGTGGCTTTTCTTAAGGCAGTATTCTAGGTCTCCTATTATTTACCACATACGTAAATGATCTACCAGAAGTTCCAAGGCATTGCTCTATAGAATGTTATGTAGACGATACAAAACTGTTTGTTTCTTTTAATTTGCACCACTCCCAACAGATTGTCCAAGAAATGAATGAAGATCTTCTTCAGGTGCACAACTGGTGCTTCGGAAATCAGCTACTAATGAATCTAGACGACAAAATTAATAATTGTTTTCGGGAGCCGACAGATGACCTCTACGCTCCATGAATTTCATTTGTCTTTGTTGGGAAAGGACATTTCCCCAGTGCAATCAGCGAGAGATCTTGGCGTAATTGGGGATCCGAACTTAACATTTGATAACCATATAATGACCTAAGTGTATCACTCCATCACTGCTTGCAACTTCCCCGGCTACTAACAACAAATACCCGGCAACTCGAAATCTTGGTGACAACCCTGGTTATTATAAAATTAATAATGTAATATAATCATTGTTCCCGAAAAGACCCCTTGGGGAGGCAACAATAAAGTATGTATGTATGTATTTGACCACTGCAGCTCAATACATGCCCATTATAGGCATCCTGTTTTGAAGGCTTGACAGGTGAGTAGTGAAACAAGACTTTTCTTGAAAATTTCTGGTCAAGGTTAAATATTTTCTTGAATTTTTGTTTGTCTGAGTCACAATCATTTGGGCATTGCTCCCCCTTGAGCAATTTGGATGCCAAAGTTATCAGTGACAATTAAGATTAATGATGTTGCAGAAAAATCTGGAAATTCTGGTTGGAAAATCAAATGGTTGGGACATTTCATTTAGGAAGGTTCAGAAAACATGGGCTGTGAACCTGTGTGGTTTGTGTAAATGGTAAGCACCCATGCATGGTTCCAAATGGGCAGCTGTAGGTGTCTACAAAATTAAGACTGAAGACCAAAGACCAAAGACAGAAGACCCCAGGTCAAACAACAAAACGAAGACCCCCAACCTCTTCGTATCTCTCGGCATCTGACAAAGCATTTTAGCAAAGGTCTTTGTTTTGTAGTTTGCCCCGGGTTAACCTACGAAACGAAGACCCCAACTTCTTCATGTCTCTCAGTACCTAACAAAGCCTTTTAGAAAAGGTTTTTTTTTGTAGTTTGACCCAGGGTAAACTACAAAATGAAGACCCTATCCTTTTTATGTCTCTTGGCATCTGATAGAACAAAAAAAACTGTCTCGTTGGTGTTGATGGACCTAAAATTAATTTAAATCAATGGTCTTTGGTTTTGGGTCTTCGGTCTTTGGTCTTTGTTTTGTAGACACCCAGGCAGCTGTGTCAGTTGAGAGCCTGGTTTCCACATAAACACTTAGATAATGTACCGGAAAAAGTCTAACAATAGACAGTCATGGCAATTCTACAAAAACAAACATTGCTGCCATAATGGAACTCTTGATTGCAATGGAAATGAGGCCTTACTTACCAACAAGAGAATAAACTCTTTGAATCATGGGAACTAAAAATGCAGCTGTCTTTCCTGACCCAGTCTGTGCACAAGCCAGTACATCACGAAAACTCAGTGCCACTGGAATTACTTGCATTTGAATTGGTGTTGGAGTAGCATAGCCAAATTTAAACAGATTAGTACTCAACATTTCGTCAAGCTGACAATGCCGAAATTCAAGCACTGGTTTACTAACATTTTCTCCTTTCACTTTTATGTTGAGATTCACTCTAATATCCTCAACTTGGTGCATTGACAAACCAGAAACAAAAGGATGTTCTTTGTAATGAAATTCTTCCTTGTCTTTCATATAGCTTCCAATAAAGTCATCGTTTGAACTTTCGTAACACAGAGTTGTGTTATTATCCAACATATCTTTAGCTTCCTCTTCGCGTTGGATGCGCTTTAAATGTTTAGCTTTGCACTGGAAACTACACACATCGTTATCTGTTTGATCGACAATATATGCTCCATACCGTCCGCAAACTACGCAGACGGGTTCTCCAGCTACTGGCCATCTCTGATTTTTGCTATACGAAACTATTTCTTCTTCAGTGTCGATGTCTTTGTCGTCATTTGAATTACTGTGTATTGATGTTTGAACTGAAACATGTGGCGTTGTTGTCAGTATGCTAGAACTTAGCACTTGTTTTTCTAGGGAACTGTTACCTAACTCCGACACTCTTTCATCTATCACATTTAGGTTCTTTACGTCAACTCTTCTTTGAAAAAGCTTTGCCTTTTTCGACTGATGAGTGAGATTAATCTCTTTAACTCTTAACGACCGGGGAACAAACATGGCGCCCTTCCTCAGACTACACTGCTAGTAACGCTGCCAGCTTTGCCATTTAAGCTTTGCAAGCACCCCCAAGCTCGTCCCCAGGGTCTTCTCGCTTTCCAATACCCGCCGCCATATTGGAAAGCGAGAAGACCCTGGGGACGAGGTTGCCAGTACAGTAACCTGAGATCAGGCTTTCCGGCGGGCAAGGCGAAACGAAAAGAAGCCCAATTTTAGCGGTAGCCGTTAGAGGATGTATGAGAACCGCTAAAATTGGGCCTGATCTCTGGTTAGAAGAAATACGAACTCCCCTAAAATCGCCTGCGTGGGAGCCTACCGATAACTCGAACCTTCAAGGGAAATCGAAAAAAGGTTCTTCGAGTTATCGGAAGTTCGAAGAAAATAGCCCAAAGTAAGGTAAAAAACAGTTTTTACTGCACAGTGAACATTTAAATCACATTCAGTTGTAGAAATGTCAAGTGAAAATTAAAAGATACTTTTAGATTATAAATCAGAACGTAACGTAACAAAACATAGCCTATAAAAAAAATGGAGCATGCGTTTTACTGTTTTGGGAAGAAAAGCTGCTTCACGTTAGCCTGTGACAATCAACATCAGCCTCCACTAGTAAACTATACTCCTACAACACGTCAATAGGAAATCCAAAATTTAATGTTTCGGACGCCCGCAGACGGCTTTCTCCCGTTTTTTTAAGGGCTCAAATCATCGTTCGAGTTATCAAGGGTAAAATTGGGGAAACGATAATTGGTTCGAATTAGCGGGAGTTCGAGTTATCGAGGGTTCGAGTTACCGAGGGTGAAATTGCAGTGAATGTATGACGGTAATCCAGGGGAAATCGATTTTGGTTCGAGTTAGCGCGAGGTTCGAGTTCGCAAGGGTTCGAGTTATCGGGAGTCGACTGTATTCCAAGGTCACGGCTAGTGAATTATACATGACGTAAACACCGCACTTTCTTTCCATCTGCCGCTGAATAAGATGTCTGGGGACTCGTCATCGCTTATCGGACAGCTCTCGGACCACAACTTCACTCAACTTCACATTTACTTCGCCGCGTGTTAAGTTGGAGCCATAAATCCGGAGAACTGTGAGTTTGGACTTAGACAAAATAATTTAAGATATAATTGGACTAGACTGTTAACTCTTTAAACTTTAAATTACTTGATCTTTTATGTTAGCTGTGGTATAAAGTTATGCTGCTTTTCTACAGATACATGGAAGTCTGTAGCAAATATCAATGAGTTCGCCCGCAGTAAATTAGCTATAAACCATGGAATGGTATTAACTCCAAATTCTAGTTAAATCACGATTTTAGACATTTTTGATTTTAGACATTTGTGAATTGGCTTGGGCTATCGAGGGAAATCTCTGCAATCGAAGGTGGGAAATTTTATTGTAGGTCGGTGGCAATGGTTGTCCCTAAATCTACTGCGGGAAATACAGCATCTCCATATAAGTTGTTTATTTTGAGTTGCTATTGTAATCGAAGAGTGAAGTAAAATTAAGTCAAAACGAAGCAATTTTATTCATTTTGAAAAGGAACTGAACTGTACCTCACCGCGCTCGCAAAAGGTTGGCAAGTATGTCAAGTAGTACGGATTGCTTCAGCCGAATCGCAGTTTACATCGAAGCAACCTTTGGTACAAGATGACTGCAATAGTTAAAATCGAAATCGTCGATGGATTGTTGTGTCAATTCTGAACATTTTGTGGGGCTAACTCTTCACGAGGCTAATCTAAAAGTGAGCTTTCTTACGAGGCGAACTAGTTGTGGGCGAACTCACATATAGCCAGTATTTTCCCTTTAAAGCTTTCCCCATAGAAAATGTGACCCCTCACGCAAAAATGTACACTAACGATCTTTCGTTAAAAGGCCTTAAATGTTGGCTATTAGTCATCTGTTAAGGTCGATTTACACTGATGCGTTTTTGGCTATGCACATTAACGCACATAAATTTTAATCACGTAAATAAAATAGAGCCCAGATATAAGGTGTTGAGATTAAACATGAAGTTCAGTGAAGTTCTACTTTTATGCTTATGTGCAACCTTTCATACATTGACTCTATTTTATTTGTGGTTGTAAATTTGAGGCATGTACGCACATAAAAATTATGCGACAACGGAAATCAACCCCTAGAGAAATTAATGAAACCATTAGTAGCATTGGTCAATCCGTTAGAGTGTTAGTCATTACTGTTAGTGCGCGTTAGTCAATCCATTAGCCTCTGCTCTATGCCTGTTAGAGTGTCAGTCATATCCGTTTGTTAGTCAGTCCATCAGTATGATCTAAAACCTGGTAGAAAACTAAGCAATAACGAACATTCTATCAGAGAGCATAATCTGATGGAAGTTTTAACCCTTTAAGTCCCAATAGTGACCAACATAATTTTCTCCTAACAATATCCATAGATTGTCAAGTGCAACATCTATGAGAATTAATCAAATGATCACAAAGAGAGGATTCTCTGATCTTTTATCAATTTCTCCCAACTTATTCTGTAAGGAAATGTATAGAGATCAGTTTGGAGAATTTGTTTGCGGATATTGGGGCTTAAAGGGTTAAAGGAGGGTAACCTACGTCTAGCTGCGTGTCAAGAAAGTGAAAGGGCCATCAAACGGCTGAACACATGATTAGAATTCCAAACGACTAACAATAAACATGAACAGGTGAACGGGTCATCAACCATAATTTTGAACAGGTTACCCAAACGGCCAAGCAGCTAATGAAAATTTTTCGAAAGCGCTAATGTAAATGGCTGAACGGGTTTACTTTTAATTTCGAACAATGTTTCTGCCATGATAAACAATGACATTTACTTCTCCAAAGGCCAAGTGGATAGGTTAACAAAAACGAGCGACACAGATGTTCTGTGAAGCTCCTGCCGTACTTCAAAACAGATGAGGAACCAATCAGCAGCAACACCAAGGGGCACCCATGGGAAACAACCTCTAAACAGCGCCAAGTTGAATTCTTTGAAAGTGCGGACATCTTTGAAAAATTTCCCAAGGAGCTTGTCGGCTTTTTCTTCATAAGGCAAATTAGGCTAAGCTAAACAATCAGTATTTTAATAACATAGCGAATGTCAATATGTTTGGCCAGTTGACTCAATGCCATACTCTGCTCGTCTCTTGCATTTTGACTCACCCTACGGGCTTGTCAAAATATGGCTTGATTCACAAAAATATCCCGCGATACTACACACTAAACCGTCCTATAAGATATACATATTTTTAATCACTTAATATTTTTTATTCAAGTGTTTTTTATATTTCACATATTACATTGTATTTATATCATTTTAGAATAGATTTTTAAGTGAACTATTGTAAAGCACTTTCAATCATTTTCTGTAAATAGTGCTATAGACACATTTTGTATTATTACTATTATTATTATCATTTTTAGTCAGGTGCAGTTCTTTTTTAATAATTTAGCTACATCAATAAAAGAAGCTACATTGCTTTCCATTTTTAAAAACCTTCGTAGAGTTCATTTTAGTCATTAGTTTTTCTTATTAATATCCTTAATACATACGTTACAGTAGCTCTGTTGTGGTTCAAAATTTACCTTGGGTTTGAATTTTTCAAACCGGTTTAAGTTTTTAAACCAGTTCTTTTATCAGCTGTCTGAAAAAGGGCCTTTCCTTTTTTGGGGTGTGGTTGAAAATTAGGGGCTGGCTTTTTGGGGAGTTCTTAAAAAGGATTAGCTGTTATCAGAAAATTTCATTTTTTTCCATTCTTTTGCATCTCACCAACCACGCCTCCCTCCTTGTTCTGTCATTCCCAGAGGGTTCATTAAGGTTTTGAACAGGAGGGCAACTGAGTTTGACACCCGGGCAAAGAATTGGCAAGGCCCGGAGGGCCTTCCCCCCCTAGGGGGGTCGGGGGCATGCTCCCCCGGAAAATTTTGAAATTGTATAGTTGCAGGGATGTGTTTTCCTGCATTTTGAAGCTGCAGACAGTGACTTTCAACAACCAAAAAAAGATAACTTTTCTAGACAATTTAGTAATGATTTGATACCAAGAGTTTTCGCTAGAAGGTGAATCACAAAAGTATTAGTTTAACATCTTGTCTTGAAAATTTCAATGACTAGACGGGAGTCCTGAGCACTGTTTTAACGTGAACGCACCGAAAATTAATTCATTGGCGTAAACCATAAGACGAATAAAAAATCACGCTTCGCTTTATTGAACGTGATGATTAAGTCATTCAATATATACAGGCAAGTAAAAGGTTAGATCACAAAGAAGTCTACTCTCCTCTTCGCCTTTTCTCTACTGGAGGCCCTTTGGTTGAAGCCGAAAAATAATCCACTATCGAACGCGTTAATTTTCTGGGCCGCCATGCTCACGTGCTCGCAATCCTGATACATTTCACGTGGTCGTTTATGAAGTACAGTTCTTTTTGCAATGTGTTTATGGGGCGATTCTTGTATTTAACACATAACGAACGAGGGGATTTCATGCCACGCGTAATAAAGTGGAAACTGCACGGCAAAGTATGTTTTACACTCGATAAGACTCATCAAGAATAGGGCACGATTGTAACTTAAAACTGTTTATAATCGTTCCTTGTATTAAAAAGAAGTTCTTTGAGATGTAAAGCAGCCGGGCAAAGTCGTGTTCACAGCCGGTCAATTTGCCCGTTGCCCGGCCCTTAATGAACCCCCTGCATTCCCCTCCTGAACTTAGTTCTTCCTAACCCCTCTTAGTACCTTTCACCTAACCCCCCATATTATCTCACTATGATTTCTTTCCCTTTCTTTATATTTGTTGGTACTCACCAGGATTTGAACTCCCAACCTTTGGATATGCACTCCTCTTCCTTATCCACTTGACCACTTAAGCAATCATTGCAAATACATCCTTATTTCTTTCTCTTGTTATTACCCATTCATCTCAGACTCCTGTCGGTGAAAATCGTAATTTTTTCATCTTGCATATAGCAAACACATCTGCACATGCGCATTTCTACCAAGTAGAAGCATGGCGGACTTCGACAAAATTGCCAATATTGTGTTTCTAGAGAAACGTTTGAAGCCAAA